AGGGCTGGGGGATCAGGGCAGACGGTAAGGCTAGGGGAGAGGGCACTGGGCCGGGTCAGGGTTTCTCTCTTGGAGTGAGAGTCTGTGTAGGGGAAGGAGACTGAATCTGCAGGCTGGGTGGGCACCACCTGGCCCTGCAGCACCACCCACACTCCCCTGACAGAGGATCTGGAATGTTCTACCTCCGCGTGCTGTCCACGGTGAGCCGCTCATCCTGGGAGCTCTGCCATGAGTAGTAGCCCGTGAGGAACTTCCAGGCTTCCGTCCTCACCAGGGGGTGCAGACCCTGGGGCGGGGTGGAAGTTGGGGTCATGCCCTCTCGATGCCGCCAAAAGGGCTTTGCCCAGCGCCTGGCCTGCCCCTGCCCATCCACGCCCTGGTTCCAGGGCAAGGCCATGGGCAGCTTGGGGACCGTACCCTTTCCAGGATGCTAACACAAATGAAGTCCCTCGACTTGGCCAGATGGCCGTTCTCGTCAAAGAAGCTATTCCATTCTGTCTTGTCAATGGCTGGTTTTCTCTTCACCTGGCAAAGACAACCAACCGGTCCAGCTCTCTCTTAGGAGCTTTTGGCTTTTGAGTGTGATTTTTAAATAATGTGCTCTGGACTTTGCGATATGAATCAAAGCTCACCACCCGCCTCATTTCTAGAAATCTATCCTGAGGAAATTACTGAGAATATATAGAAAAATTTCTGCACCCGAAATAATTTTCATTGCACATTACTTACCAACATGAAAAATGCAAACACTCTAAATGTTCTGCAATAAGGGAATAGTTAAGTAAACTGTGGTTTATATACTCAATGGAACAGAGGGAGGCATATAAATGGATGTTTATAAGAAATGAATAATCTGGAAAAATACAAATGTCAACAGAAAAGGCTGGATACAAAACTGTGTGCTCAGCAAGCTCTCTATGTACTGTAAGCTGCGGCACTCGCACAGCACACACACTGTGCGCCTCTACGGGCTGTCTGTCATCTGTGGTAAAAATTACACAATATAAACTCGAATACACATAGTGCATTAACCACTACAAAAATTGTTTGAAAAAAAATACCAAAAACAATCCATTAAAAACAACAGTGATTATCTTTGAGTGATAAGTGAATTAGCACTTTTTACCTTTTTCTTATACTTCCAGAATTTTCTATAATTATGTATGCTGCCTTGATAACAGAAAATATAAAATAAGCACCAATTAAACACATTTATGAGCTCCATTTTATCTTTCTTGGAGATGTAAAACAGTTCATTACAAGGAATGGTTTCTGTTTTATTTTATCTTATTTATTGAGATAGACTCTCACTCTGTTGCCTGGACTAGAGTGCCGTGGCGTCAGCCTAGCTCACAGCAGCCTCACACTCCTGGGCTCAAGCGATCCTCCTGCCTCAGCCTCCCGAGTAGCTAGAACTACAGTTGTGCGCCACCATGCCTGGGTAATTTTTTCTATTTTTAGTAGAGATGGGGTCTCACTCTTGCTCAGGCTGGTCTTGAACTCCTGACCTCAAGCCATCCTTCTGCCTCAGCCTCTCAGAGTGCTAGGATTACAGGCGTGAGCCACCATACCTGGCCGGTTTCTGTTTTAGATAAGGGGTGTGTGCATGTGTGTGTGTGCATGTGTGTGTGTGCATGTGTGTGTGCATGTGTGTGTGTGCATGTGTGTGTGTGCATGTGTGTGTGCATGTGTGTGTGTGCATGTGTGTGTGTGGGAGGGAGGTGAGTACACTGCGTGCAAAATCATTCAAAATGTTCACAGTATGATAACTAGAAGTTAGGGTTCCTGTTGGAATAGAAGAAGATTCCTCTCTTCCTGGCATATCCCCTGATACTGGAGAGAAGAGTATCTTGGACTCCGCATTGCAAACATAAAGATGTGCTGATGGACGAGCCGACCGGGCACGTCTGCTCTACATAGTACCAACTTCCCATTGACCGTGCACTTGAATATGTACATGCGTGACTCAAAATTAAATGTGCATACAAATTACTGAAGGATCTTCCTAAAGTACAGTTTCTGATTCAGAAGTTTTGGGTGGGGCCCAAGACGATGGGTTTCTTACAAGCTCCGGCGATGGGTGATGCTGCTACTCCACCGACCATACGCTTAGGACAGTATCAGACGGCAGAACAGTGCTAGGAACTAAACATAGGAGCCCGTGGGCCCCAAATTGGGATCATTTCCACTAACTGCATGTTTGATGGGGATGAATTGAGAAACACATTCTTTAGTAGCTCACACATGCCCTGTCTTCTGAACCAAAATGGAATATAAGGACCCAAGAAGGTATAAAAAAGCTCAGCATTAGCCTAATCTTGAGAAGCAGAGCGAGCGCCAAGGCCAAGCCCCGCCTACGTAGGCACTGTCCCTGTCATCGGAGCCGGGTCTCCGACACTCTGGCTGCTCCATATTCTCCCAGCCTATGCTCATTCACTCATTAAAAGGCAAGGATTTTCAGTTTGAATAAAAAATATGTACCTTACACAAGCTGTAAACAAAAGGTATTCCTTAAAATAAAATACTATGCAATGATTTAAAAATAAATGATGAACAAAGATATAAAAATAGTCAAATACAGTGAAAGGGAGACATACTGAAATTAAAGTAATATGCACAGCACACCATAATAAAAGATATGGCATCAACATAAGAAGACAGAAATAATTAGAAACATCACAAAAGCATCTGTTGAGTACTCAGAGAATTTGCATTACTAAACCTCTACCTGCAACAATTGGCCATCTGCCTACTTTGCCATGGTTGAATTTGTTTATAAAAAGTCACCACCTCTTCCTTCTGGGAAACTCCATTCCTGTACACCCACCAATTCCCTGTATCTCTCCAAACCTAGGCAAACTACGGGCCGCCCACAGGAATATCTAAGGCACTTGCTGAGAAGCCAAGGATCAGAACGAGCAGCCCGTTGACTTGCAGAAGGCCAAGAGGAAAATTTCCCCTTGGAAGCCCCCTCCCTCACTTCTTCCAGTCCATCCATACCACCTGGTGATGCCAGAAATCAGAGCACCTGTATCTGGGGTCCTTCACAGTGATGGAGATTGTCAACCCAATAGCCTCTCAAATCCACCTCCATCCTCCCATCTTTCTCCATTCTTTGCTCCACCAACCTATTGACACCCTTCCCCACGCTCTGGGTACAGTGACTTGGTAATCCAGGAGGAAGAGCTGTGTAGCTCAGAACGCCTTTCAGCTCTGTGGCAGCAACTGTCCTAGTCTCCTGGGTAGAGCACTTTGGAAACGTCCTCCCACCTTTAGGGTAAGTCTAGGCAGGCTAACACTCTCTGTCAGCAAACCTGGAGAAAGTTTGGCCAGGCTTGCCCTGGAGAGGGGACCAGAAGCGGGAGCCCTAAGTGTCTCTAAGGTTTCCTGCTTCCAGAGGCTTTGTCTTCAGGAGTGCATCTCCCCACCTCACCTTGGCTCCACATCATTGGGTCAGGGATTTCTCTAGTATTTCCAGTAAAATAGGAAAATCAATGGAGGATAAGTAAACTTTTTAGAGGGTTTTGACGCCAAGTTTCTCTGAACACACATAGTTACAGAGCCTCCAGTAGCACCTGGGGAAGGTCGTTGACCCCGCTGAAGGCTCTCAGCATGTTTTCCTGCTCCAGTCCACCCGAGAGCAAGACATACCCCCAAACACAACGAGGGCTCCCCTATCAGCAATCATTGCCAACCTGGGTGTGTGTGAGGGTGTCATCAGCATAGACAGTGACTAAGAAAATGATTTAAACAGTGGTTCTCAAAGTTAGCTCTGCATCAGAATCATCTGGAGGGCTGACTTTCAAGAAAACACATCTCTGGGACCCATCTTAAGTTTCCGGTTCAGAAGATCTGGCCCAGGGATCTGCATCTCTTACAAGGCCCCATTGGGCGCTAACACTGCAGGTTTGGGGGGCACACTTGGGGCACACCCGGACCCCCACGCTGATGTGGGTGGACTTCACCGCCCACCTGCCTGGGTCTGAACATCCACCAGCTTTGCCACTTACTAGCTGTGTGGCAATAAGCAAGTTTCTAAATCTCTGTGTCTCGATCTTCTGACTTATAAAATGAGGATAATAGCATCATTCATCTCACAGGGTTGTGATAATGAATGACTAAATAAAGCATTTAGAAGAGTCGTTGTACATGATAAATGCTATGTGACAGTTTATTTTATTATTAGCATTCTCTAAGTTCAGAGAAATGACAAAGATATCAAGAGAATTTAAATCGAGGCCTGGTGATAATCTGCAATAAAGCAATAACATTTAAGATTCAGGGAGAGAGGTGCCCATTTTGCATTTTTGTGTATCACTCTCTTAATCACTATGATTAATGAAACTTGAGATCGGTTAAGTTCATTGTAATTAGTTATTATGATTTTGGAAAAATACCATGTGGAACATTTTTATGACTGAGGCTGACTCTAACAAATAGATGTCTTATTAACCGAGCTTAGAACCACTTACTAACAAAGCACTACTGCCACCTGGTGGCAGCATACCAAAATTGTTGGCAAAAGCACCAAAGACAATTTATCAGCATCTTCAGGGTTGAACTTGCAAACCTAAAACTCAAGGAAGTTAGAATAACACATCTGGGGGACTTGGGTTTCTCAGTCCTGTGGCTGCCACTGATGGTAAGACCAAGGTACAACTGCCCCTGTTCCTCCTTTTATGCCAGCTCAGGGTTCTAGCCTTTCCAAGCCAGCAGGGGACAACGGCCCACATGGGAACCAGAGGTTGGGGAGGGCAGCACAAGCTGATGACGAACACGCACCAGGATGAAGGAGGCTGACTGTCTAGCAGAGAGGCTGTTTTCCGGAGACAAGGTGGTCATGGCCCCTGCTAGCTGCCTTCAAAGCAGCCTCTGACTCGAACTATCTTGGAGCCCTAGTGATGCTTGATCAGGAGATGAGTTGCATTTCCATGAGGAACTGGGCCTCTTCTGACCTCCCACAGGAGCCAGCTGTGTGTCACAAGGCCTCTGGAACCCTGGTCACAATGGCCTTGGAACATGGGAGCACCCACCTTCAGAGGTAAGACTCACATAGGAGCCGAGGGACTAAACCTTCTAGTCACTCGGAAAAATTGCAGCACGTGCAGTGCAGGTTGGGTTCAGAGCACGTGGGATCAGAGTGGGCTGCACTGGCCAGGGTGGGCTTCCTGGCAGAGGTGGGCCAGGGAGCCTTTCTGCCCCCTCCAGCTCTGCCTCTGGACTCTCAGCTGGTTATCCTACCAGATCAGTACTCGTACCTGGAGAACACCCAGGACCCAAGGTTCAGATTTCTTGGGTACCAGCTGCAAAGATTCAGAATCAGTATGCCTGGACTGGGGGCCTGGGGAATGTTCTTTGATAAATCTCCCCGAGTGACTCAGAGGCAGTATTTGAATGGTAGCTTTGGGGATGAAGGCCAGTTTTACTCATCTTTATATCCAGGGCATTTAAAACGGTGCCTGAGTAACTGGATGAATGATTAGCTTGAATGGGAGAATAAATGAAGTTCTCTAAAATCTCATTTCACTTCCCTCTCCATGTGTATTATAGTGACTGGTGCATGCCCCACCTCCCCACTTACCCTGAGTTCCTTCAGGCCAGCGCCAATGTCAGATTCTTTTGTGCTCCCCACCCCATGCCAACCCTGCTGCCATGGCACTTGGCAGGTGCTAAGTATTTGTTGCATGGATCTAAGGAGTTAGCTCGCTTGGCTCCAGCATCCCTGTTCTCCACCTTAAGCTTTGCTTGCATTTCTACTCAGGTCCCATCTGGCTGTAAATCGTCCTAGTCATTAGGCGATGATAGCAATTAGAGGAACCAAATTGGAACTGGAGCTCAGTGTTGGAATGTGGACTCTGACCTCAAATTTGGATGTTCCCCTCTTGTGAGCCACAGATTCCCCAGCCATGAAATCAGAATACAGTCAACCTCTGGCTTTCACCATCCTTATTAACATAATGAATCAGCGTCCATAAGCAAGTTTTCAGTGGACACAATCCATTGTCTCATTTGCTGTTCCAGTTCTGCTAGCAGGTGGCACTGCAGGAGGCCTCATTATCGCCTTCCTCCCCCCACCCCATCCCAAGCTAGGAAAGAGCCTCTTTCCTTTGATCTCTGCCCCTGGGGCTTCCTGGAGCAAGAGGCGGTGGCTTTGATTGGGCCTTGCCCACGTCAGGGAGGCTTCCTTCTGAGGTTCCCAAGAGGTTTCCAAAGCGAATGTCCAGAGCAGGGGGCCTGGCCTGGCATCACTCCTCATCTGAGATTCTCTGTGCCTGTGTTGCTCCACCTTAACCACATAGACAATTGAGAATTAACTGCAATTTCTCCCTGAGAAGCTGAGGATCAGGTCGAGTTGGAAAAATCTGAGTACTAAATCCAACGTGGCTTCTCAAGTGAACTTGGAGGGCACAGATCATCTACTGACCTTCCTTTAACCTCTGGCTCCCTACCTGGGAATTGCAGGTAACATTCCTTCTCCGAGTCAGCCAACGCACTTTAGTCATGCCACAAACGCCTCGCAGCAACCACACAAGGCTTAATATTCAAACAGAATTGCAGGACCCTGTGCAGATGCAAAAAAGGCCTTTGGTTCGCCTCCCTCTCCCGCTTCTTTTTCAGATTCTTAAAGGGATTTGCAGGTGTCAGTTTTGTTCCAGGGCTGAATGGTCCTTACCACGTCTATTTATTTACATAATTGCCCTTGAGTGCTTTCCATCACCATCACCACGGTTACTCTTCTTTGTGCATTTCCCCTCCCCATGGGAATTCAGCTTCCTGCTTTAAGTTTCTGTACACGAGGATTCTTCAGGGCACAAGAATCCCAGGTTTTAAAATATTATTCTAGGTGTTTGCATTAAAGAAGTCCTGGGAGTGAGAAAGCCACCTGGCCCATGTTTCCCCTGCTGAATGTGGCTACCCACGCGCTGAAGGGGCTGTGGTGTGGGAGGAGGGCAGGCGTGAGCGGGCCTGGGGAAGGCCTGTTATCCTCAGACGCGCAGAGTCTGTGCAGTGAGAAAGCTCACAGGCTTTGGTGCCAGGAAAACCCGAGTTCAAATCCTGACCCTGCCACCCACCAGCGATGCCACCTTCATCCCATCTGCTGGGAAAGCGGCCTCCTGGGTGGAGTCTCCTGCCCCTTGCTCAGCCCTATACAAGCGGCCTTGAGCCTGAATCGCTTCCTTACCAAGAGACAAGCAGCCCTCCTAGCTCGAGCTGGGCTCGTCGCCTCATGCAGGAATACTTTTGTCCCGTTCCAGGCTCAGTGTGTACTCCTTTGTGCTGCTTAAGCGTGTGCGTCCTGGGGCGCTTGGCCAACCCCACTGCTGTACCTGTCCCGGGTGGTGAGGGAAGGGGGCCTTCACCTGCAGTGTGAGAGGGGCGCGTGCCGACCACCGCCCTGTGCTGGCTGCAGGACGAGACCCCTGGCCGTGGGGACTGACCCCTGCTGTTGAAGCTGATCTTGCTCTGTCTCTTGTCTATGTGACCAAGGTGTTGTTCCATCCAGTGCACATGTAAGTCGTGTCTTTCTTGGAGACACCTGCAAAACAAGGAGTGGGTTGACATCCTGGGAGCGCTGCTCCCGGTAGCGGGCACTGCCGTGCTGTCGGCTGCCCTGCAGCGGGGCTGCTCCCTACCCGAGTCTCAGCACCCTCTCGGGTGCCTCGGGGGTGGTGCTGGCTCGCAGGACGGGGGGTGAAAGAAGTGATGTCTGCAAAGAGCCTGGCATGGCCCTGGAGCGCAGGAGGCGCCTGCTGCGTGGCGTGCCGCAGTTATTTTTATCCTCGGCATCGCCGGCATTACCAATACCCAAGACTTGTCCGTAAGTGTCGCTAGGAGAGCTGCTTTCTAGGAGCGGACTCGAGTTGAGGTCCTGCCCGTTTCCATGGGGCTGGCGTTACACTCACGCACGAATTCGAAGATCCCTGTGAGCCAGTCTGTTTCCCCTTGTCTGTATGTCTCTGAGAACCCAAGGCACGGGGATCACTGTAAAAGCAGGGAAGGCGGTGCTGGAAACGAGGTTCGCTCCAGTGCCCTTCGAGACGATGCAGCACGACACGGCTCTGTGACAGCCCGGGCTGCACCTCTGTCGCAGGTAGCAGTGCCTTCAAAGGATACCTGCTCAGGACTGTCTAAGTCTGAGCTCTCTGGCTCTGGGTGCAAATCACATCAGTTCTGATTTTATTTCATTGCAAAGTGCCGAAGATCTTTTATGCTAAAGCCATAGTTTTCTCTTTGTTCTCTTTGTGGAGGACGAGGACAAGTTTGGATTTCTGGCAAGAGGCTTTCTGCCCTCAACCGCACAGAGCACGGCATTTCTGACAAAGCTGGAGGTGGCTGCACCCACATGTTATCAGCGGGAGGGGGGCAGGGCTAGGGGCGGAGATTGCTCTCTCTGAGCACCGAGGTAGTTGCAGTCCCCAGAGCAGTAGCCAACCCAGCCACCTCGGAAGTCCCCTGAGCTAGCTGGAGTGCCAACTAGTTGTACCTTGGGCCATCTCCAGGTCTTGGGGAGCCCACCTACAAGACAACTTTCGTGGGTACCAGGATTACCCCTAGGAGCTACTCTGGACAAAAGGGAGGCCTCAGCCTCGGGAGGCTCAGGCTGAGCCCACCCAGTCCTGCTCCTTAAGGGGCCCTCATCACGGTTTACCTGCCCCCCAGCCCAGGCTCCTGGGGCAGTGCCAAGCAGGTAGCTCTGACTCACCCAGCAAAGGCGTGCCTTTCCCGCCACCCACGTCTCCTGCTCGCACCTGGGCCTCCCAGTCACAGCTGCCTTTTAAGGGGCACCTGCCATATACCTCAAGCAAAGTGCTTCACGTCTGTGAGTGCCTGCCTTGAACACCAGAGAGGTTAAGTTACTTGCCTGGCATCACCCAGGCAGTCCGTGGGGAGCAGGAGCCTTCCTAGCTCTGCCCAGCTTTGCCACTAGCCGGGCCATCTCTGTGTCACGTGGAGCTGCCTCCCCCATCCTGTTGGCAGCGGTGGGCATCTCGGAGCTCTGTGCTGGCTCGGGGACTGTAATCCTACAGCCCGGTGGTGGTGGGGAGTTTGCTGTAACTCCCTCTCCAGATTTTAAAATAGTTATTCCGTCTAAAAACAGAGCACGTGGCGGTAATGGGGGTGGGGGTTGGGAAGTGTTGCAACCTAGATTACAAAGAGGATGGAAAGCGTGAAATGGAGAGAAAAAAGGACAAGAAATTCCAGCAACTGCCAGGGGACTGCTAATGGAGAGAAATAACGTGGCTAATTACATCTCTGATGGCTATCCATTCCAAATGAATTTTTAATGAAAAAATAATGCATTTTCCCTGCAACTTAAATCCAGAAGAGAAGGGAAGGAGCAGAGTCTCCCAGGGCAGGCAAGAGCAGCTGTGCGTGCCCAAGGGTGGCTCTGACTCCCTCACCTGGTTGCTCCCCCAGCATCCTCATCCTGGGGTGGCCATGAAGCAGTCTTCCAGAAGCCCCAAGGGCAAGCCACGGGAACCTCGCACCAGGCAGCTGGGCTCCTAGACGCCAGGTGCAGACTGAGGTCTGTAAGCTGAACTCCGCCCCCATCAACGCTCAGACATGTGCCCCTGCACCAGCTCCAGGGCTTCTCTGGGTGGGACCCAGTCGCCCCCTCTGCCCCTCCTCCCCATTCTCTGCGTCAGGCACTTCTGGGTCTTAAATGCAGGGGCAGAAAGTCAAGCTCCTTCTGTGAAATAAAGGCTCATCTTTGACAAGCCAAACACATCTGTTTGGTGAGTGTGGATTTGGGGAAAATGAGCCTCATTTTCTCCTCTTTCTAGAATAATCTGTGGATCAGAATGGGGAGAGAGAAGCACAAGTTTTAGAGTCAAACAGACCTGGGTTTGGATCCCCGTCTTATAACTCACTTGTTATATGGCCTAGGCAAGACATTAAACTTTCCAGACTCAGTTTCCTTATCTGTAAAAGAAGCCACTTCCTAGCATTGTCGTGTGGTTTAGATAGCGTCTGACATACTCCAAGCCTGCAATAAACAGCCGAGCACACCCAGGCCAGCTCTGGGCGCCCCGAGAATGTCACGCCCGGGGTTCTCCAGCCTCAGCCAGCCTCTCTCGCCTGCTGTGGCCACCTGCGTCAGACCACAAGGACCACGGGGACAGCTGTGACCGCTGAGTTGTGGTGGGCCCTTGGCCTCAGATGGGCCCTTTGGCCGAGGGTCCGGCTCTCCCTGCAGTGAAGAAGAGGCAGCAGAGCAGGAGCCCTAGGAAGCTCCTCCCGGCAAAGGAGAAGGGCCCGGCTGTCACAGGTGGCCTGCACACGCTGCCCTCGGCACGCCGGCCACCCTGCAAACTGTACACTACACCCTCAAAGTTAGGAGCACACAAGCCCCGTAAAACGAAGGACCACGTGCTTCAATATTCACTCTCCAATGTACTAGATCCACAGAGACACAAACAGCCCCACAGCGTGCATGTGACTGTACGTATGACAGGCTGCGGCAGACCTGCATTTACAAGTGTCCCGAAGCAGCATGAAAGCAGTCCAGGGCAGCTCACTTCCATGCAACGCTTGCGCTCTGAAGTGGGTGTGCGCATGGACAAACACGCCCACCTACGGCACAGACACCGGGGCGGGGACAGGGATGACACCCTGGGCCTCTCAGATGGCTCCCTTCTCCGGTGAGATCCCGGCTGGGGCCGAGGGCAGGGCTGCTCCGCCGGCTCAGCAGTTGTGTCCGGAATGGGACCATGCAGAAAAACACGTGGCCTACGTAAGAATGTCAGTGAGGTCAAGGTTATGAGAGCAATTCCTCTGTGATGGGATCTTAGACAGGTCATTCCACAACCTGAGCCCACGCTGGCCTCTGGCCCTGGCCACAGCCTGGTCTTGACCACAGAGGCTGAAATTGAGCCCTGGAAAACACGGCGGCAGCTCTGCTTCATAGACAAGAAATTCAACTCCAGAGAGGGGTGGTAACTTGCTCAAGGTCACACAGCCGGTCAAAAGTGTACCCATCACTAGCATCCAGTCTCCTGCCTCCCAGCTGCATCTTTAGATCTCAGCAAAAAGGTGACACTTTAAAGCCAGACTTTGGAGAAAAGAGAGGGAGTCTGGGGGCGCGGGAGGGGGGCTTGCAGAAGTCTGAGGAAATTGTCCTGGAAGGTCTTGTTTCCCAGAGCATAGGTGTTCCTTTTTCTTCCCCTTCTTCCTTCTGAGGCCAGGCAGATGCTGCTCATGCCAGGGTGGGCAGGGGGCGGGGAGAGGGGCAGGCTGGCGGGCTTTGCCTCCTCTGTTCTGTCTTTTCCAGGAGAGGCGCAGCATGGGATCCGCAGACGCAGCCCGCTGTGCGGAGAGGCCAGACGAGGACTGATCTTTCTGCTGCTTCAAAGGGAGCCGAGCCCTTCCTGCCGTTGCTGTTGATCAAAGTCTCTGCAGAGCATATTTAATGCGCCCTGCCCTCCCCCACGTTGTGCCCGGGGGGCAGAGTCCCCCCTTGTCATGCTGAGACTTCCTCCAAACCTTACTGCAAACTCGAGAGACACCCCCACCTACCTTCCAGGCGGGGTCCCACTGCACCTACCAGGGCCAGGAGTTCCCATTCCCTGCCGGCTCCTTCTCCAGGTGACTCAGCCCAAGGCCAGGGCCTGGCAGTGGACATGGATATCATGCCCGTTGTGCAGATAAGAGCCCGGGCCAGAGAGGTGGTAACTTGCCCAGAGCCACAGGCTGGTTATGCCTTGGGAAACCCCCATTCGTAAAAGATCACGGGGCCTGTGTCCTCACAAAGCCCGTGTCTGATGGTGGGACATGCTCCTCCCTCGGAGCTGCCAGTCCACCGAGCACACACAGAACCCAGAAAGACCACAGAAATAACCCGTGTGAAAAGGAAGGGTGGGCCTTGTTTCTAAGACGTCTCACTTTCGAAATCGTAAAAAATCTATAAACTCTTTTATTTCACTTTCCCTCCCAGGTGGGGCACAAAGCAGATTTGTCTTCCCTTTTTCCCTGTCCCCTCCCCAAATGACACCCAGCTTCATCTGTTTGCAAATAGTGCTCTGCCTTACATGTGAAAATCCTTAAATGCCTTTCCATTAAATACAGTGTGAATTTTGAAGTCCTTAGCGTGGTGTTCAAGGCTCTGAAAACCCTTGAGAGGCCATGTGGCCCAGTGGTTAAGGGCATGGGCTCCTGGGCTAGCATCCTAGCTCCTGAAACTCATGGCTTTAACCCATCGATTATTTGGAAGTATGTTGTTTAATTTCCAGTATTTGGGGGATTTTTCAGATAATCTCTGTTATTTATTTCAAGTTTAATTCTATTATAGTCAGAGAACATACCCTGCATGATTTAAATTCTTTTAAATTTGTTACGATTTCTTTTAAGACCTAGAATATGGTCTAGATTAGAGCAACTTGAAAAGAATGTGCATTCTGCTATTGGTGGTGGAGCCTTCTACAAATGTCACTTAGGTCAAGTTGGTTAATGGTGTTGTTCAGGTCTTCCAAATCCCCACTGATTTTCTCTTTATTTTTCTATCAGTGACGGATAAGTATTAAAGTCCCCAAGTATAACTGGATTTATCTATTTCTTCGTTTAGTTCTATCAGTTTTTTGTTTTATGTATTTTAAAGTTCTATTGTTGGCTGCGTGTATACACATTTAGAGTTTGTACAACTTCCACATGAATCAATCGTTTTATCAGTGGGTCATATTTCTCTTAATCCCTGATAAGTTTCTTCCTCGGAAGTCTACTTTCCCTAATATTAATTTAGCCATTGCAGGCGTGTTAAAAAATTAATATTTTAGGTATTTTCACAAACTTTTAACTCTTTAACCTATGTATATCATTGTACCTAAAGTGAATTTCTGTCAATAGCATATAGTTGGTCTTTTTTTAAAAAAAATCTAATCTGAAATATATTTTAATTGGCATGTTTTAACCATCTTACCTTTTTTTTTTTTTTTTTGAGACAGAGTCTCCGCTTTGTTGCCCCACGGCTGAGTGTGAGTGCCGTGGCGTCAGCCATACGTCACAGCAACCTCAATCCTGGGCTCGAGACGATCCTTCTGCCCTCACCTCCAAGTAGCTGGGACTACAGGCATCCACCATGCCGGCTAATTTTATATATATAGTCATCAGTTGGCCAATTACAGGTTTCTTTTTCTATTTATAGTAGAGACAGGGGTCTCCGTCGCTTCGCTCCAGGCTGTTTTGAACTCTGACTTGAGGCGACACCGCCTGCGCTCGGCCCAGAGAGCTAGACATTACAGGCGGACACACCGCGCCCAGGTCCCACCATCGTTACTTTCTTA